GCACAGAAGAGAATTCCTCAGGAATAGAAATGCTCTGTCAAAAACAGAGGTAGTGAAAATAAGCAAAATAATTATGATTACCATGTATCGGTGCTGACATTATTTATTTGCTCTCCAACAACAGCCCCATGATAAAAGTTTTTATTGTTTACACTTTTAAAAATGAAGACATTGGGACCTGCATAGTTTACATATTTTGATTTTGGTTAAACAATACATTAATAAGTCAAAATTCCTATGAGTTCCATCTATCTATGACATCTTCGATCCAACCTGTGACACTGAGTTGGAGAAAAAAAGGAAAAGAAGGGACAAATGAGACTAGCTACAGGGAGATGACATTGAACATCTACAGAAAGTTGACTCAAGAACAAAGATTGCTTAACCTTGCTTGGAGAATATGTTCAATTATTTGTGTGACTGAAGACTAAGAGGAACTTACTCTTGTTAATCCTAGTCATCTCTCTAACATCTAAAATGGTGCCTGGACACTAATTTGAAAGAATACATGCACACCTATGTTCACCGCAGCATTATTTACAATAGCCAAGATGTGGAAGAAAACCAAGTGCCCATCAAGAAATGATAAAAAGTTGTGGTACATATACATAATGGAACATTACTCAGCCATAAAAAAAAAGAATGAAATCTTACCATTTGTGATAGCTTGGATGAACCTAGATGGTATTACATTAAGTGAAATAAGTCATGCAAAGGCAAATACCACATGATTTCACTAATACGTGGAATCTAAATGGCAAAATAAATGAACTAATAAATTTGAAACAGACTCATAGATACAGAAAACAGCCTGATGGTTGCCAGAGGTGAGGAGAATTATGGGGCTGGGTGAAAAAAGTAAAATGTACAAAATTGTACTGAAGTACAAACTTACAGTTACAGTATAGTCACAGGGATGTGAAGTACAGCATAGGAGCTACAGTCAGTAGTATCGTAATAACTAGGTATGGTGCTGGGTGGGTACTAGAAATACTGGGGCAACACTTTGTAAAGTATATGATTATCTAACTACTATGCTATAAACCTAAAACTAATGTAAAATAATATTGAATGTGAACTGTAACTGGAAGATAAAATAAAACGGTGTCTGGAGAACAGTAGGTGAATAAATAGTTGTTAAAGAAGAACTGTAATCTCTGGCTTGAAATATGTCCGAGCTTTATTTAAAATCCCAGTTCACTAGAAATAGGACATATATAGATCCATGAAAATTCACCAGACCCTGCTCTGTTCGTGCACCCAAACCCTAGCCTGGAGCTTCCACAGGAGTCCCACTGCACCATGCACACTCTACCCCTGCCACCTTGCAACCAGCACTGGAGGGATCATATTCTGGACCTATCATTCAGTCCCTACTGGTTCTTCAGCCTCTCTAAGTTCACAAGCAGTCACAAGAGGTCATTATTTTCCCTAAGCTTCCTAGTTTGGTTCCAGATGCATCTTCTAAATAATAAGGAAGTCTTATCATTCTGCTAACTCTATGCTTTCACAGACAGTAACTCATTATAGCTGATTAGTCTTTTTAAAAAAAAACAATTCTCAAACTTCCTCCCTCTGGAATCTCTTAAAATCCACTGCATCATTGAATATTTTAAAATACTAATAGTTTGAAAATGTGTACTATCCACTGCATCATTGAATATTTTAAAATACTAAAAGTTTGAAAATGTGTACTATGGTTAGTAGGTTCAAAACCAGATCCCTCCACTGATGCATAACATGGGGCAAGAGACTTAAACCTCTGTGCCCTAATCTCCTCATCTGAAAATGAGGGTCATAAGGTTTAAAGATTAAACTAATGAAAACATGTAAAATAAACACATAAAAGGATGCTTGGCATATTAAAGTGTTCAATAAGGGCAAGCTATTTTTATTCAAAGGTTATCTCTATAGCTTAACCTAATAGCTTCTTGTTTGGTCCACTATTTCTAAATTCATTTATTTTCTGTATACATGTACACATGGCATACTTGTCATTTTAGTGGTCATGGCATTCATTCCCCTTCCTCCCTTCTTTCCTTCCTTCCTCCCTCCCTCCCTCCCTTCCTTCCTCCCTCCCTCCCTTCCTTCTAATGGTTTATTCCTTTATTCACTCATTACACTGAGGGCCACAGAGAAAATGTTCAGCCATGAGACATCAGTGAGTTCTTCCACAGGTGGATCCCCCTACACACCTTGATGGCTAGTTGAGTGATGAACAAGAGTTCTATCATTTTTACTCATAAACAATGACTTTCATCCTGAACTATTCTGTGCATTTCTCAACTTTCCTAAATTTGAATGCCTCTAAAAACATAGCCACATTAAAAAAAAAAAAAAAGATTACCCAGGTCATGTAAAGAACAGGTAGAAAAATAGAATATGTTAGGTTAATAGAGGAAACATAGACATGTGAGCTGTCACCATATATGTACAGGCTGTCAATAAACCCAAAAGGGGGTTTTGTGTGGTCCCAGGAAGCTGAGTAAGGACCCTAGATAGAAGCAGTAAGAGTTGAGTCACAACTGTAACTGGCTTAAAAAGAACAGGCTGCCTCCATGTTCATGCTTAGAGTAAACAATAGGTGATTATTTATTGAATATGCTGAAGAAACAACACATAAAAGTGGAAACAGATGCCCTCTAATTTCCTCAAAACTCCATAATCCACAAATATGAATACATTAATATTGCTGACATCCAGACATGTCTAATATATAAAGAACTGAAGACTTATACAAATGCAACTACAATATTTAAAACAAATAAGACTGATTACAAATGCAATGTTACTGAAATTTTAGAAAAGCTTATTCATCCTATCCAGGGGCTTCAGAGGAAATCTGAAGGTGGTGTTTAAGCTCAGCTTGAAGATGAGATTAAAGTTAGCTATGGAAATAGCAAGACCTTAGACCATTTTAAAATGAAAGAACAGTATAACCAAAGGTATAGTGGTATGAATGTGAATGAGGCCAAGGGGAGAGTTCAGTTTGGCTTGAGCACAATGGCAACGAGAGATGAGCCTGAAAAAGCTTTTTGGGAATGACAAGGACTGAAATACTGGTCCTTAGACTGGGGTAACAGGAGTCACCAGTGTTATTTACATGTAGGTAAGGGAGAAGTACTTCAGTTAGAGTATCTGGTGGCACATACAGAATTAACGTGTACAGTAAGAGACTAGAAGTAAGAAGACCCTCAAAGAGACTACAGCATGACTTCAGAAAATATGTCAAAAGTGCCTGACTCTGTGGCAGCATCAGAAAGGGAGAAACTTGGGATATGACAGTGTCAAGTCTTAGCAACTGACAGTGAGGGGAGTCTCAAAATCACCTAGGCTAGACTGCTATAAAGTGAAGACCCATAAAAGTAAAGAGGACAGCAGAAAGACGGAAGGTACAGAAAGTTCAGAAGAGACCACAGCGTGTGGGTGGTGGTAGCCACAGTAAAGGGGAGCTGTCCAGCAAGGCATTTGGAAAGGTCAGCCTAGAGATTATGTGAAGGTCAGGGCTGAAGATAATGACTTGGGAGTTATTCCATTTGATGTGAAAGCTAAGGCCAGGAAGGTAGGAGTTTTGCCAATCAATAGAACATACACAAAAGCAAAATTCAAAACAGATACCGAGGAACACGTCCTTTAGGGAGAACGAAGTGAAAGGAGAGCCAAACAAGCTGCAAATGAGCAGTCAGAAAAGTAAGAGGAGAACACAGAGGGCGTGGAGGCCAAAGCAGGAGTCTGAGAAGCAGCAGGTGCTGATATTGCCACAGGCTGTTGACAGTTTAAAGCAAATGAAGATTTAGTGCCTGGGAGATCCATGATAATCTGATTATTAAATGTTAACACTTACATATTCCTTACAAAAAAGACCTTGCTGCTTCAAATCAAAGTATTTTCACATGAGGTTATTTTTATTATCCTTTGAAGAAAAAGCAAAACAATTTATTATTTGAAGATACTCTGATCTTAAGGATAATTTCCATAAACATTCTCCATTTGATCCTATTGGACAATAGTTTTGAACCAAAGCTAGTACTATTCTTCCAAGAATTAAATGTAAAGGTAGGGGCATTTTAGGTAACTACAGTGACTGAGGGGAAGCTATCAGCATAAAGAGTACGGGGGCCATAGACACCACAGGTCCTGTGATGAAAGAGCCATGCATTCCCCCACAGTGAAACAACATCTGGCAAAAATACCAACTGTATCGCCTATTCAGAAACATCGCTATATAATGCCACTTATCCCTAACTGGACTTTGGTATATTTGAGAAAAATTGACAGAACTTCAGATTCTGAAATTTTTAAAAACTGATTTTAAAATAAGGTAAATATTATTAATATAGTTCATCCCTTAGAAGTTTTTAAAGTAAATGCATTTCTTTTGCTTTACTGTTTATTCCTACCTAATCTAGTTTCAAACAAAATAAGTCTTCAAGTAAATTACTTAGTAGGGAAGCTTTTAAAAAAAATGAATTATAATTGCTCCACATATCAGCTCTAATCAGAATCTGAGTAGAGGTACAGATAATTAAGAATGCATCTCATTGCATTATTAGGTGAGGAAACAGCCAATGTTTGAAATAAAATGCTTTCTTTTAAAAAATGCCAATATTTTATACACATCTTTATTTATCTAGACTATTGCATTCTCTTGCATCTACCACTCAGAATAAGTATTTTCAATAGAAAGCTGCTGGCTTAATGCCTAATATTACAAAAAATGCAGCACCAGTTTAGATAAATGAAAAACATAGACATTTTTTTGGTAACATTCTACCAAATTATATTTGGTGAAATCATCTCTCATTTGCGAACGGCCTAAGATGTGTGGTAAAGGATGCTCCTTCCTCTAGACGATGACCCCCAGTCTGCTGTTCTCTCCTGTTACGACTGTGAGTGGGAGGGGGACTAGGCGCCAGGGTTCACCACTTATGGGACTGACCGAGAGAATGAAGCTTTCTCTAAAAGTTTCTCTAGAAGTTAAAAAAAGTTATATTATTTACCAAGACTTTGTGCAGTTGTTTCTCAACTTGTTTCTTAACAGCTCTGATCCAACCAGTGTTGAGAAAGCCTGTGACAAATGAGGATGACCTCTCAGACAAGGGGAATCTATTTAAAGGTTTATTATGCAATCTAACACAGTTATATGATCTAATGAAAAACTTGCATTTCAAAAGATTCCCAAAAATTTGTGAACAAGAATAAGCCAGTGATCCTTGTGACAATCTAACAGTCATAGGTCTAATACTTAATACCTAACACTAGCGATCATGTATTGAGTTATTTCTATGTATGTGCTCCACACAGTGCTACTTACATCCCAGGTATTGTCTTGTTTCACCTATAAACCAACACATGAAACGGATTATGATCTTATTTTTACACATGAAGAAACTCAAACTCAAATTTAGACATGTTTTTGCAGATGAAGAAACCAAAATTTATAGAGGTTAAGCAACTTGCTCTCGCTAGTAGTTGGCAGAGCCATGATCAAAACCTAGACAGACCAGGTTTCAGGGCCCTCTGCCCTGTCCTGCCCCGGAGACCTTCGTCCCCCAGGGGCTCTGCCCTCAAGGACCATTTCACAGAGATGGAACACACTTGGTCTCTGCTCTCAAGGACCATTTCACTGAGGAAAAGAGGTAGAATACTTACCCACATAATTGTAATTCCAGCTAAAACATACTGGCCTACGTAAGTCCAGATCAATTTAGATGAAGTTCAAATGAACACAGATTACATCAAAATAAAGGAACTGAGAGATAATTTTTGTGTGTGGGGGGGATGGATTGTAAGAGAAGAATGGGGATAAAAGACCTAAAAGAACATAACTATTATTTTTTTATCATAGTTAGCTAGATATCAATAAAGGAAAGAGCACAAAGGGAATCAAACACTGAGCCTGTCTGTTTAACCAGGAAGCTATAGCTTCACACTCCCCCCCAGGGAACCACCAGTCTGCAGATCACTGGGGGAAGGGATAGGACAAAGAAGGGGGAGGTAAGGACATGCCCATAGAAGTCAAAATGGTGAAGGAGGAGGTGTTTGACCCAAGAGGCCTGTCAGTCTAACCTAGGAAAGGAATTATTGGTCAAGGGGTGGACCCATCAGAAGCCTTCAAAAGCTTGGAAAGTTGATTGGTTATTTTAAAATAGCTTCTTGTTATAGCCCCAGGGGAATGAAGGAACTGTCTAACTGCCTGCCTCTCTCTCTCTCTCTCTCTGTCTTGTGTACGCACACTTTTGCACTCTCAGGAACTCACATTCATCCTGTGCTCTCATGTGTTTTCTCTCCATGACCACGTAGCCCTGGATATTGCAGCACTGTACTAAGCTTTAATACAGCACAGGATCTCTGGGCATTGGCCCTATTTCTGGCCTTGATTTTCCATGGCAGGATGGGCAGAGATGGGATACTGGAATCCCAGGAGGTTCACACTATTGATTTTGCATGGAGCACCCACATAAATCTTACCACCAGACCTTATCTCCCCTTGTTAGTCACTGAAAATGTTTTTCCTTGTGACACCACAGGGACTCCACTTCCACCAGCAACAGTATTATTTCATGCCACTTTATTTGTCAGATAGAGCAGAAGATACCTTACATTTGTTATCTTCTTTGTTGTAGGGAAAAACCATACATGTATTATTTCATGTTGCAAAAAAACTAAGTCAGCTAGTCACTCAACTGAAGCTTGAACCCAGAACCCCTGAAGGTATAACTCATCCTTATTTGTTTGTTTGTTCATTCCACATTGACTACATTTCTTTTTGATATTTACTGGGTATGTGCAACTTTTGCTAATTTGTCATCCCAAAGAAAGAATACTTTTCTAACTCACAAAGTGACAAGATGACTAGATACAGGACAAGGCAAAGGAATCCCAACTGTTCTGTCCCCAGGGAAGACCCCTGTGGGACTTGCTGACAGATTTAGAGAAGCAGACAGGAAAGCAGACTCATTCTCATTTTCCTTCATCCTCCTCCCTTCCACCTGTTTCCCTCCCTCCTCCTCCCTTTGTTTCTTTGATAATCAGTTCAGAACTATTATGTGGTGCTACTGCACTGGGCCAGAGAACCAGACAAAGTCCTTGTCCTCATTCAGCTTCATCCAAAGTAGAGATTGTGTTACTTAGTGGTTAAAGCAAGACTGTCAGAGTGCTTGTCCCAGCTCGGCCACCTAACTAGCTGTGCTATTGGAGCAAGTTACTTAACTCTGTGTCTAAATTCCTCTTCTTTGACAGACCAACCTCAAATGGGTGATTAAGAAGATTAAGAAGATAAAAGGAGTTAAAATATACAGAAAGTAGTAGCACCATGCTTGGAACATGGTGAGCATTACAGAGATGTAATAATTACTCTATTTCTCTTCAGCTTTTTAGAGGAAGTGGATTAAGCTGTCCAAAGTCTGGGAGATATTACAGCTCAGTCTCGTCTCCCAAAAAGAGGAAATCAATTTTTTGGCAGAGATAATCTTCAGGGAAGGAGTGTCCTCGCCTCATAGCTAAAAGAAGATCCTCCATATCTATTTTACAAGGTCACTCTCAATGGGCAAAAGAATGCGGCTGAATATACACGTTTCTAAATCAAGACACCCTTCCCAAATTTGCCTATTAGCAGATCTTACAAACATTTCTTAGATTGTTAAATTCCTTTCAAGTTATTTAGAATAAATGTCTGTTCCATTGAGAAGAAAACTAGCTGAAGGCAAACAGGGTAGGAGTAAGAAAAACTGGTTGACTACACATGCATTTTTTTGACAGCAGAATTGCAACCTCATTCATCTTGGTAACCACAGTTTAGTGTGTGGAATGGTTTTAGGGGGTTTGAAATAGCTAGTTTCTTTTAGGTGTTTTCCATATCCTTTATTTCTCCCTTCATGGTAGGTACCACCAATCCAATTTTATGGATAAGAAAACCTGAGGATGAGATTGCTAAGTAATTACAACCTTACAAAATGCAGAACTGAGCCTGAAATCTAGGTCTAACTGTAAAGTCAGTTACCTTTTCCCATGTGAATGTCTCAAAAAAATGTTCAGTGAACGAATATAGAACTAAAAGCAAATGCAGGAACGCTTTTGCACTGTTGGTGGGAACACAGACTGGTGCAGCCACTAAGGAAAGCAGTAAAGAGATACCTCAAAAAATTAAAAATGATCTTCCTTTTGACCCAGCGATCCCACTTCTGGGAATATATCCAAAGAAACACAAAACACTAATTTGAAAGAACATAAGCACCCCTATGTTCATTGCAGCGTTATTTACAATCACCAAGATATGGAAGCAGCCCAAGTGTCTATCAGTAGATGAGTGGATAAAACAACTATGGGGCATTTACACAATGGAATACTACTCAGCTATAAAAAAAAGAAGGAAATTTTACCCTTTGTGACAGCATGAACAGACCTGGAGAACATCATGCTAAGTGAAATAAGCCAGTCAGAGAAAAACAAGTATCATACGATTTCTCTCATATGTGGAATCTAATGAACAAAGTGAACTAACAAGCCAGATAGAGACAGACTCATAGATGGAGAGCAGATGACAGCTAGTGGGGAGAGCAGGGTGTGGAGGGATCGAACAAAAAGGAAAAAGGACTCATGGACATGGACCACATACCACCAAGAGGAGGTATTAGAGGGTTAATTGGTAATGGAGAAAATACAATAAAATTTTTTAAAAGACTTTTTTTTTTAATTTCAGATCCATGATCCAAAAATATGACTCTGAATAAAAGATATTTCTTTAGGTCACTTTGCTGTCCTTTCTTTCAGGAGGGCTCAAGGCCAAAAATATAAGCCAGGTGATATAAAAGTAGATACATGTCTAGAAATAAGCTTGGCATTTACAGAAAGATGCACTAACTGGATGTTGGGAAAAGAGGTGTTTAAATTTCAGGTTACTTGCCACTATTAAACCACTCCCTGAAGGAAAAAAGCAATACCTAAAATTCCAAACTTTTGATGCGAAGTTTGTAAAAATCAGTTTTTACTTTATGAGCTATCGTATAAGACACTGAACTGTTTAAATAATGTTTCCCTTTCACTGAGATCATTCAATTGCCTGCTCACTTAGATTGATTTAACTGTGATGTCAGAAGCAGCAAGTGCAGGTAGGATTGCTTCACCAAGGGTAAATAAGAGAGACACCTTGCTCAAGCCTCATCTACTCCCTGCAAGCCACCACCCAGCTCATATTTTTCCCCCACACTCCCCCAGATGCACACCTAAGTACTTGTGGTTCCGATGATAGGGCACATGGCAGCCCTCCTGAGCTCTTAAAGCACCAAGTGGCAGGAGAGGACATCCAGCGCTCACTGCTTTCTTCTGACCAGTCTTTTTTTCATATCACTCTAATCATTGTCCGCTATTTTATGCTTCTGATTCATTTCTTATTAGATCCAGGAAGAGATGAGGAGACGGAATATTATCAGCTTTTCTGCTAGACCAACCATTCTCACTCAACTCGGCCCACTCAGTACTACTTCTGAAAAAATGAAGGCAGACACTCATAGAGAAGCTGATCTTCATTTCCTCTCGTGTGGTGCGTGGGTGTGATGTCCTTGGCCTAGACCAAAAAATGTCCTTGCTAGCCCTACCAGTTAATTGTCACCTGGTCACAACCATCTTTGCCAAACCAATCTGCGATCATTTTCATGGAAGTAACGGAGAAAAGCGGATGGAGAGAGCAGTGCAGAAGAGCATCTGCTGAGGGACTGCAGTTGGCACCTGGACCGCCCCGCCTCCCACCCTACCTGTCTGGCCTGGCGCCCCCAGCGCAGCGCAACATACTAGGAAACCCAGTGCGAGCTCCAGAAGCAGGTCCTCTGAAAGTCACACTCTCCTTCTGCCAGGGCGCATACCTTGCCAGCACACACCTTTCCCTCCGCCTCCTAACCCACCCTGCTACCAGCAGACCAAAAAAGAAGGAAGGTGACTTCCCCTGTACTTTGTCCCATCCTAGCCTCTTCGAACCCCGCAAGTCTGCTAAAAGACAAGACACTCCCTACGTACCCTCTGACCACCAGCCACACCCTCGACCCCACCTCTGAGGCAACCAGACCACCAGATACTGCCAGGCCCAGGGAAGGATGCTAGTGAGAAGTGCATTGGGGATACACCGGTAGGGAACTAGCTCTGACAGACTCATTAGCCAAGGAGAGCAAGAAACACCCCGCCAGAAGAGTCTCCGTGCAAAAAGCCTAGAACGTGAGCACCTCCAGACCGAAAGCACGCGGGCACACGTTGCGCTCCCCAATAGTCTGGGCGCCCTTGAGCCCTCCGCCTCAGATGCCAGCGCCTCCAGCCAGTGTCGGGTACGCCCCCCAAAACTCCTGCGCCGCCACCGGCGCGCAGAATGACGCTAGCCTCCCTCCGGAGGCAGCTTTGATTTTTTTTTTTTGTCTATATAAGGGCTCACTGCGTTCAGCGTGTTTGTCACAGGCGTGCTGGTAATTTTCACACATGCGTGCGCGAGGTTCCTGGGGCGGCAGGGTGTAGACGCGCACTCGCCTTCCTCTCAGAGGGCGCCTCCCCTTCTCTTCCTCCTCCCACCCTGCTGGCGAGTCCATTACCTGGTCTCCGGCACCGGGTGGGCCCTGCAGCCCTCCGTTCCCTCCTAGCCGTTGCCGATTTGCCTCTCTGCCGCTGGGTGAATGGAATTATTTATTTATTTATGCTCCCTGACGTGTCCTCTCCGGCCACAGCCAGAAGTGGAGGGAGAGGAGGAGGAGGCGGGGAGGGAAGGGGAGGCGCGGCTGCTGAGTGCTCCAGTGGGTGCAGAGGAGCGCGCCCTGGGAGGGGAAGGGGAGGATGTGATGGTGGAGAACCCAAGCTTTGCCGGAACCCAGAGGTCCGGGGTGGGGTGGAGGGGGCCGCCACCCTGTGACTCAAGGAGGAGTGAGCATGCTCGGGTGGCTCCACTTCAGGTTTTAGTTTTGACCAACAGAAAAGCCAAAAGTCTAGTGGAGACAAGTTTTCCGAGACTGGTCCGCCCAAGTTTTAGCCGAAGTCCTTTGGCGCTTAACCTAGGAGCCAGGCATGCAATAGCTCCGAGTAGATACCCCAGGGAGTTATGCAACCTATAAAAGCTTTCGGGGGAAGGAACCTGGCAGAGTGCAGGACGACCGGAAGATTCTCTCTGTGAGCTTGGAGGACGAATGTTGGGTTATTTTTCAATTGAGGTGTTTTGGAGGGAGCGATAGAGTGGGGATGCCAGTGTTGGAGATTCAGCTCACCAACCAAATCGCTCTAAGGGAAAAATAAAATTTTCGCCGTGGGAGGAGGAGTTTAGAAAATAGTACAAGAACTTGAAAATAGATGATAGAAAGAAAGTCATTTGTAAATAATCCCTTTCATTTCTACTTTCTCAAATGATTTAATTCTTCCAGGTAGGAATTGGTTATTTGACAATAAACAATGTTAGGGATAATGCTAATCCCAGTCATTGGTTCTGCCTCTTCTGCCTTTCTCTCTCCCTCTCTCTCCCTTGTCTAGAGCATGTTTCTTGGGGAGATTAGAAACAGGAAGGGTTAGAAATGAACATTTTAGGTTGGTTTCCTTTAATGTCTTGATGGTTGAATTACTACTGAAAGAAAAAGAAAACTGTCCAGAAGAATAAACACAAGCTTGGATTTGAGAATTCATATTGCAGTTTTTCTGTCAATTTAACTGACCCCACACCCCATTCCTGCCTCTAAAAAGTGAAAAAGATGTTACATTAATCTAGAGAACAATATAACTTCCTAGAAGGTTTTCTTGTTTATTTTAGAACTTAAATCATTTATAACAAACCAAGATAAGTTACCTAAAATAGAGCCCAAAAGACAAAGAAACAAAATGGTAATAACAGTGAAAAATTACACTTATTTAAGTGAGTGGAGGTTCAGCCTGAGTCACCCTAAGAGGTGCATCTGTGGCATACAAATTGTTTTGAGCTAAAGGCAACTTTAGCTACAGACGCAAGAGAAACTTCTGTCCCTAACTTTACCTACTAGAATATGAATTAGGGCCCTTTGCCTTGTGATTATCAAAGATAGCCTCTTTGACTTGGCTTTCAGGCAGAGTAAATTTCTATTTCCTAACCTTCTGTGGTTCTTATCAGCCTGCAATGACCCTTTGAAGCCCTCAAGGTACATTATCTCATCCTTAGATCAGTTGTCTTACATACCTGGGCCTGCCTTTGTATCTCTGAACCTCTTGTGTGGGGGGTTTTCTGGCTCATATATATGTGGAGTCCCCTACATGTGTATGTATCAAATTTAGTTATTTTCCTTTGCTAATCTGTGTCATATCTATTTGACTATTATAACAGCCAGGAGAGCCATAAGGGTAGGGGAACATTTCTTCTTCCACACAAGTGCTTATCATTGTCAGACACTGTTCTAAATACTTATATGGATTGTCTCAATTAATACAATGACCATATTAGGATATTCACCTTTAAAAATTTGAAGACAAATTAAGTCACTTGGCAAAATTCACATTGCCTTACTTCTGCCATAGCAAACTAGGACAAAATTTGAATTTTAGTGTCTGAAGCCACAAAGTAGAAATAATATCCACCTTTTATTGTTATCATGAGATTTAAGTGAGATGATGTATGTGAAGAGAAATGTAGATAATATAAGATAAATAAATGGTGGATATTATTAGTAACTTCAAAAGCTTTGGAAGACAGTTTCACAGAGAGAAGGGTAGTTTGGAAACTAAGGAACTATGGTAGAAAACTCTAGAAAGGACTTCAAATTTTTTTAAAGCTAAAATGTGCAAATTGACAAATGTGTAAGATATAGGCATTTAATAATGTTGGAATGTCTATCAGTGACAATAAACATTTCATTTTCATTACAAAAGAATATTAAGTTTTTAAAAAATTAAGATTCACATTTCAAGGTCCTCTTCTTCTATGTTTGCTAATGACATTTGTCCTGCTCATTCATTACCTTTATTTCAGAGAAGAGAAGAAAGAGGAAAGACCATGCATTTTCTGAAGTTTGAGCCTGTTCCCCCTTTTCCATCTCTCTGGTTTTTACTTTTTGTTTGTCCTGTATTTTTGACAACTTCAATGGCCCTGGCCTATTTAACTCATTGCCAAACTCTTAAACATCACTACCCATAGCATTATATCATAAATGTAGCATGCTCTCTTTTTAAATCTTGTTCTCCAACAGTTAAAACTCTGGATCCAATTTTCCTACTGCCCCAGTGTTAGTATCTGGGGCTTCATTGGTGAATCCTCTTGTTGCTATGACTAAGCATGCTATGTAAATATTTGATTGCATTAGAAAAGAATTGGAAAGGAGAATTAGATGACAGACAATAGAGCTGGTCAATTCATCCTAAGACTATAGTCTTAATATTGTTCAAATATTGAGGAAAATATGTATGATTTAGGGAAAAAGCAAACCATATGATCAGAATTTGAAATGATTTGATAAAATGTTTGCCTTGATTTCTTTTGATAAGGTGAAATAACAATAAGAGAAACAAAGTATAGCTATATACTCGATATTCTAAAAACTCCACAAATAAGCAAGCCAGGGAATACATACCTAACAAAAACTAATTAAGCGCAAACATCTTACACTGTATAACCACAGCCTCATATTCAAGGTTTTCTGATTCTTCATTTCTCAGCTATGCTGTATCTTCTCATATTTCTCTCTATTCTCATTCCCTACCATTTTCTCCACATAAAACCTACCTAAACTATTTTTTTTTCCCTTAAGGCCCAGCAAATATGTGATTACATCTGTAGCATTTCAAGGATTCCTTCAGTAAGAATGAATTCTATCTTCCTCTGTGCTCTTTCCCATAAGACATTTTGCATGCTTCTATTTGGGACATTTTCTTTCTGCTGTACAGTATGGTTATGATTTTCTTGTGTGTCTCCCCAACCTATTAGGCTGTTGGAGGGTAGAGATGATATTTTATTCATATCTGTAATCTTCCAGCATTCGGCACAAATTCTTGCACTTGAAGGAGATTAATAACATCTGCCAAATGAAGGAAAGAGATGATAGCGTGCCATTAGGCAACAGATTTGTGGGAGAGGCTGCCAGTGCTCCCAGTATCCATGATCTGCATGACATCATCTTTCTCTGCTTCTCTTAGTTATTTTGAGGCCATCTGAGGCCATTAGTTTCAATTAATGGAGTACGAATGAAGTGATGTAGGAATTCAGAACAACACCCCCCCCCCCCGCCCCCGCAACATGTCCCTCTGTCTTATACAGACTGCTTTGAGCTAAAGGCAACTCTAGTCACAGGCTCAGGAGGCACTTCTGCCACCCCACCCTTAACAGCCCAGAAAAATGTGAATTACAGGCCTGGCCTATAAGAGATTACCCACATTAACCTTTTTGACCCACCTGTATGGCAAGGCAAACTTTTCCTTTTTAAACATCTGTTCTTCTTACTACCTGCAAAGGCCCTTTGATACCCCCAAGGTGCATTGCCTCATCCCTAGCTCAGAACGTTTTACATACTTCAATCCCCTTTTGTACCTCTAAACCTCTTGTGCATGTAGGATCTCAGGCTTCCTCATGTCACGTTTGAGGTTCCCATACATGTGTATGTATTAAATGTGGTTATTTTATCTTGCTGATCTGTCTCATGTCTATTGATTATTAGACCAGCCAGAAGAATCTTGAGGGTGGAGAAAACTTTGTTCCTCCCCCACAGCGGCATGTTACATCTGGGTAATGGGAATTAAGAGCCAACATGCTTCTTTATTTCTTGTCATTCCCTGCCCTAATAGCTTCATGTTTTCAGATGGAGTAGCTACAAAATGGAGTTATTGAAAGATTGTTAAAAAGCTGCTTGACTTGCACTAGACTTTGTGTGTGCCAGAAACAATTACTGTGTTTAGCCACTGAGATTTCAGGCTTTATTTGTCATGAGAACATAACCTAGCTTATCCTGACCAATACAAGATCTTACTTAATAAGCTGATAAATCCTAACAGCATAAAGACCCAGTGAAACATTGAGCTTATGAAAATGCTGTAATGTGTGCTAATATATATATATATATATATATATATATATATATATATATATTCTAACCCAAAATTGATATATAATGGCCTTTTCATAGAAAAACTCTGTGAAAGCCAAGTGTGTGTGTGTGTGTGTGGCTGTGTGAAAACTACACAATAGATTCATTTTAACTGAAGACAAAAGACTCAATGTCCCAATATTCCCCTTGGCCTGAGTGAAAAAGAACATGTACTTGCCACGCAGTGGCAGCGTACTGTGGCTGAGATTGTAGCTGACTAGCCGCTGTGACTATGATGAATCTGACCTGGTCTCACAGAGAGGACAAAATACAAAAATATCTTCCCACAGCTTCTAAATTTATATGTTAAGTGCATCCACACAGGCTACTTTGAAAAATCTTATCTGTAAGTATGGGGGTTCAGAATGATTTACCCCAAGATGTGCCTCTGCAGAATGCAGCTTGTTTTGAAGTAAAGTCAACTTTACTCACAGGGTCAGGAAGATCTCCTGTCCCTCTCTTAACTACTTAGAAGAACTTGAATAGGAACCTTGCATGTAATAAGAGATTATCAGAGAAACACTATTTTTACCTACTTGTAGGGCAGGACAAACTTCTATTCACTAAACATCTGCTCTTCTTACCATCTTGCAATGATACTTTGAAGCCCCCAAGCCACCTTACCTTATTCCCAGCTCAAGATGTCTTATCTACCCATGTTCCCTTTTTGTCTCTGAATCTCTCGTGCATAAGGAGTTTCTATGTGTATGTATTGCA